ACCCTCAAATGGATCAAGACTCAACCGGCTCTTTCTGATGCACTCAAGCGATGGATTGAGGTCATAGACCAATATGACTTCAAGCTTGAGTACCTGAAGGGAGAATACAATAAGGTTGCAGACGCGCTATCTCGTAGAGCAGACTACCTAGGTGCGCTAGTTTCTGACTTTGGCGTATCTAATGAAGTAACTCAATCATTGGTGGACATCATCCGCAAACTTCAGGCAAAAGACAAGGCCACAGAAAGTGAGTTTGTGATGGTGGACGGGCTAATCTATCTTGATAAGGTCGGAATAAAGAGATTGGTAGTTCCATCTAGTGAACAGTTGCGTAGTTTATTTTTAGGCGAATGTCATGACGCAACTGGGCACTTTGGCTACAAGAAGACGAGTGCTAACTTAGTACAGCGATTTTGGTGGCCCAGAATGCTAGATGACGCAAAGAAGTATGTTGAGACCTGTCAGGTCTGTCAGCGGGACAAGCCGCGAACTCAAGCAGCACTTGGGTTGTTAAAGCCTTTACCTATGTAGGTGTCCCTGGACACCTACGCACTCACCCAGTCTTTCATGCCTCAAAGCTTGCACCTTTCGCTGAGACTGATCAATTCCCTTCCAGGAGATCGATGCTGCCCCTAACCATGGATGGACAAGTCGACATCGACGACATTGTGGATCACAGGGATATGCCTGTTCCGAAGTCGCTAGGTCGAGGAAGACCTCCTAAACCCAAGAGGGAGTACCGGATCAGATTCAGGCATCATACGGATCCAAAAGAAGATCGGTGGCTTACCCGGGAGGAACTGATGGAAACAGCTCCTCAGGTGGTGGCAGATTATGAACGGAGGCTAAAAGGTAAGGCACCTGCGAAGTAAGCATCTCAGCGGACTTTCGAAGCTAAGGGGGATGGACTGTGAGGATTGAGCCCTCAAGTAGGGGCCTTGCCATGATGTACATGTTCTGGGCTAAGGCCCCAGCAAGCCTCGTGCCCGCCCTAAGTGAAGGCGGGCCAGCAAATCAACAAGAGCCCTCTGTGCCAACATTTCACGAAGTGGGGTCCATACAGTTGCAGCACGCCAGTTGGTTGGAGTGCTCCGAGTCTCGGATTTCAGCAAATGCTGAAATGCCCAGGGCCTCTGAGTTAGTTAGGCCCTGGGCACTCAAACGTGAGGCCGACAATGCGTGCTGGGTATAGAGGCCGAAAATGCCAAAGGGAAATCGGCCCACTATCTGAATCTGGTCGCAGGCCTTGATGAAGGAGGCGCAACTGCATTGCCCCGGGGCCCAACTGTATCGGGCTGGGTTCAGCCTCTGGGTCCCGGTCGCAGGCTGACGGGAGGCCGCCCACACGCTGCACTGGCATATAGGCAAGCAGGGCGAGTGGGCAGGGATCTTGGCCATTGCGGGCAATGCCGGCACGCTGCGCTAATGCGAGCTGCTGCTGCTGCTGCGCTGCGCTAAGGGAAGTGCAAGGCAGGCCAGCGCTAGGCGGTAGGGCGCTGCCTGTGCACCAGGGCACTGGCGGCCATAGCCGGGCCGCATGAGGGTGCAGTGGAGGTGAAGGGCGAAGGTGGTTCTTCGGAGGTGAAGGGCGCTGTGTGGGCAGAAGGGAGAGTGTGGGTGAAGAGGACACGTACCTGGTGGAGGTGGAGGTCGGCATTGGTGTTGACATCATCACTCGCTGGTAGTCAAGTTGTCTGGTTGCTTTCATTGCTGTAGTTGTAGGATAGGCTGTAAAGTAGATAGGGCACCTGGCGCCATTCACAAGAGAGCTACATTTGGGTTATGCTGTTGGTGTTGCCCTGTTGGGCATGGACATTGACTCATGATTCTTCTGTATCATTCTCAATTGGATGGTTACTCGGTTCCATTGTACTATCTGCTTTGGCTTTGACTACTTGGACTTCAGTGTGATTTTGCATTCTGGATTTCTGTGCTTCGTCCATATTCATGTTCCTTGCAATTGTAAACCCCCATGCTAGGATTACTCCCTCCACCAGGGGTATACTGCGTGGCGGTCCCGGAGGACTGAAACAAGTCTCTGAAAGTAAGCCAAACTGTTCATCAAATTAGCATCCCATTTCTTCTTTTTTTTCATTAAAAAAAAATAAAATCCACATGGTTAGCACCCCATTTCATTTGATTTTTGAGTTGCGAGTAGAAAATCTCCCTCCTACATACCCCGGGGACTCTCTACGTCTACGATAACCCAACAAACAGCAAGTTCAATGCACCAATTTACAGGTACGGCAAACGTGGCCGTAAGTATTCTGAAGTGTGCCATACCTCCATGCAGAAGACAATGGAAAAAAAAAAAAAAAAAAAAAAAAAGAGGTTGTCAAGTGTTATGATCAGATGATTGCAGCAGATGTTCTGGAACACAAGGACATACGTGGCAAACTTTTCTTTTCTTTTTTTCTTTTTTTTTCCTTTTTTTTCTTTCTTTTTCTTTTTTGAAAATATGTTGCCGGGTATTTTGATCAGATGATTGCACTTAGCTTCTGAAATAGGAGGACACAAGGGGGGATAGATTCAAAAACGGTCCAAAGGTGGAGTGGTGGTATATCCTTCTCCCTGGAGAAATAATCGGCGAC